TACCTAGGACAGAAAGCTCTTCTTATGGTGTACAAGAGGGCCAATGGGACCAGGTGAAGTCTTGTAAGGCCTAGGTTTAGAAGTAGCAAGCTATTTCAGAGTATAAGTCACATGGCCAACCCTAAAATGGTGTGAAGAATTAGGGCCAATAAATTTTCATGCATCAGGATCAATTTAGAAGAGGTTTTGTGGATAAAATATCATTTCCACAGTATCTCTTTTACCTTTTTGGTATAATCTTCAGGGCCTGATTAGAAGGGGCTGGCCTGTGGGTTTGTGTTTGTTCTCGGTAGTTCATCTTTCATCTTTCAAGCTAAGGTTGAACTCTTAAAAGAGGCAATGGAAAGTAGTGGAAATTACACAGGTATTGGAGACAGACAGACGTAAGTCAAAATCCTGCTTTGCCACTCAAGAGTTTGTGTGCAACATACAAGCCCTCTAAACCTTACCTCCTGCATCAAGCACCTCGTATGGTGAGTGTTACACGGTTTACACTCAATAAATGTTTAATGGTAAAAGTGACAATAATAAGAATGTCAGGGTGGTATTGTAATAAACACTGACCCTGAGTTCCAATGCTGTCTCTACTAACTCACTGTGGACTAAGCTTCCATAAGATGACCTTTTTTTCCCCTCCAAGCCCTGAAATTCTGTGCTTGTGACAATGTGATCTCTGGTCCATTGCGGTGTCTGGAGGAACAAAGTAATTTCCCATCTAGAGTTTATTTCATTCCACTCTCTTTAATTTCTTTCTAACTGAAACTGAAGACCCCATAGCCATGTACTGTACCCAATAAGGACCCACTCAGGACTCCACATTTAATGTTAACAAATGAACTTTTGAGTCTTGTCTGGGTTATACCTTAAGCCATAATCATTCTTTGGCAGAGAAAACTAACTTTTATTGGATGGTGGTTGATATGGTTAGGCTTTGTGTCCCAACTCAAATCTCATCTTAAATTATAATCCACACAATCCCCACATGTCAAAGGAGAGACCAGGTGGAGGTAATTGGATCATGATGGGAGGGTTTCCACCAGGTTGTTCTCCTGATTGTGAATTTTCACAAGATCTGATGGTTTTTATAAGTGTTTGGTAGTTCCTCCTGCATTCATTCTCCTTCCTGCCGCCTTGTGAAGAAGGTGCCTTGCTTCCTCTTCGTCTTCTGCCATGATTGTAATTTTCCTGACACCTCTCTAGCCGTGATGAATTGTGAGTCAACGAAACCTCTTTCCTATGTAAATTACCCAGTCTCAGGCAGTTCTCTATGGCAGTGTGAAAACAGACAAATACAGTGGTCTGATCAGTTTTCCCATTTGTGAAATGGAGAGAAGCATTTTGTTTAATGTACCTCATAAGAATGATGGTACAGTCACAATGTAATAATGAATTTGATATAATTTTATAAAGATATTAATTAGAATGCTCACTCAGCTTCTCTGACAGAAGCTAAAATAACAGAAGCTTCAACATGATAGAAACTAATTACTCTTTCCTATAACAGTTTGAACATAAGCAGTTCAGGATTGATATGGCAGCTCTAGGGTGATAGGGACCAAGACTTTTATTTTGTGGTCCTGCCACACTCAACACCGTATTTGTATTCTAGCCGGTAGGGAGAGAAAAGGGGGAAGAGAGAGAGCAAGCTCTTTCTTTTTAAGAGCACTACCTGAAAGTTGTGTGTATTGTTTCTTTTCACATTCTATTGGCCATTACCTAGTCACATGGCCACACCTGTGTGCAAAGGAGTCTGGGAAATATAGACTTTAGTTAGTGGGTTATATGCCCAGGTGTTTCTTCTATAACTGGAGATGTAGAGCAGAATAGACTTTGGGAGTACAAGTAGTCTCTAACACAAAAAATATAAATGCAAAAATACTTTATGTATGGTACTTAGCAAAGTGTTGAGGATGACCCTAGTTACACTCTGGCTGGGTTTTCCTACCTACCAGAGCTTTAGGTGAATTCTCCAATTCTTCAACTTAGGACCCAAAGCCCTCATTATTTCTGAGTTCCTTCTGCTTTGTTCTCTCCTTCTGCACCTAGGCTGAGTCTCTCTGTTTTCATTCTCCCAAACATACATAAAACACTGCCATTTCAGTTTCTACAATACGTTCTATTTATTTTAATACTTTGTGATTTTTAAAATGGACTTTGCTTAAAATATAGGGTCATCCTTTTCCTTTTCTTTGGAGCAAGCAGTTCTGCCCATATCCAGCTTCTTTGTTTGTGTGTGACTATTTGCCTTTTAAAACTTCTAAGCACTTATTAGGATCTTTCTCCAGTAGCAGATCTTGAATATCAGAGCTGCATAGAGCGCTTTATTCTGACATCTAGTGGCCATGGCAGGGATGGTGCTCATCAATGTGTGTAAAGTGAAGCAGGGAGATATGGGTAGGAAAGAAAAAACAGCATTTGTTGAGCACGTTGTTTATTTCACACGCTGTGCCAGAACTGGACATGTAACTTCCTGGGTTCACAATGCAGCTCTGTCATTTACTAGCTGGCAAACATGGGCAGGTTACTTAAAGGGAGATACCTGTATGGTGAGGATTAAATTTATGGAAAGTATTAGGACAGTATATGGCACAAAGTAATATATTATTATCATCAGAAGCTTAATGTCTGTGTGTATGTATGTGTGTGTGTGTGTGTGTGAGAGAGAGAGAGAGAGAGACAGAGAAAGAGAGAAAGAGGGGGAGAGAGAGAGAGAGAGATGATGGAAGGAGTTTGGCAAGTGGGAATAAATTTTGAGAGCAGAGTTTGAAGACTTTTGTGCAAAGCTAATTATGGGCATTACTTCATAAATGGCAATCTTTTTTTTTCTTTTGAGACAGAGTCTTGCTCTGTTGCCCAGGCTGGAGTGCAATGGCGCAATCTAGGTTCATTGTGAGCTCTACCTCCCAGGTTCAAGTGATTCTCCTGCCTCAGCCTCCTGAGTAGCTGGGATTACAGGTGCACAACAACACACCTGGCTACTTTTTGTATTTTTAGTAGAGACAGGGTTTCACCATGTTAGCCAGGCTGGTCTCAAATTCCTGACCTCAAGTGATCTGCCTGCCCCGGCCTCCCAAATTGCTGGGATGACAGGCATGAACCACCACACCTGGCCTCGGCAATCTTGACTTTTAACTTGAATTTAAGATTTCTTATGACAAAGTTAATTTTTCTCCCTGAATTCATGTGAGGTGAAGACCTCCATCAGCTAGGAAAATTGGAGTAAGGTTATATTTGGATTTTGAATGTTTGGCTAGAGAGAATAATAATATTTAAGTGCAAGCTGGATGTAACCTCCACATCATTCTGGGGGCCAGTGAGGAGAGCCAAAGAAGGATAATGAAAGAAAATGTGTACTTCAGGTTATCTCAGAGGCTGCCATAACTGATTTCTTGTTATGTCATTGGATCCTGGTGGCAGTCCAAAGAGTGGCTGTGCCCTTTTAGCAGATGAGTAAGTTGAGGGTCAGCTTTTTCCATCATTGCACAACTGGCAGCTGCAAAACACGCTAGCTGCCAGGTGTGCAATGATGGAACCAGAATTTGAACATAGGTCAGTCTGATTTCAAAGCCTTTTTTTTTTTTTTTTTTTTTTTTAACTTCATTCATTGTTCTGGGAAATAGGGTGTAAAGGAAGGGGAATCCAGGGTTTTAAGAAGTGGAGAAAAGGATGAAAACAATTTGAAAGTCAGATAATGAGACTGACTACTCAGTTGGACACTCTTTTGGTAAGTTAACTGAACCAGTGGGGCCTGAGCTACACACCGTTATCTCAGGCACTCCCACTGACGTGAGTGTGCTAGGTTGCTAGCCACTGCTATGGGCTAATTACCTCCCAGAAACTGCAGCTCACGTAGGCAGCTGTGAAGAGAAGACACAGGAGATACCACATCAATCCAATGTGATTGGACAGTCCCATTAGCTACTGAGATGAACATCACATTTTCTAAGCTCAATATGAGAATGTGTGTTTTGACAAGTATGTTTTATACCCATCAGGATGGTACAAACGAAGGTTTGTAATTGGGTCATAAGCCATGGTACCTTTTGGTCAAGTTACACAAATTAGTTATCTATTGCTGTATAACAATGTTATCACAACTTAGTGTTTGAAAGCAAGATGCATTCATTATTTCACAGTTTCTGTGGGTCAGAGGTCCATGCACAGTTTAGCTGGGTCTTCTGTAAGGCTGCCATCAAGGTGTCAGCCACGGTTGGGTTCTCATCTGGGCTCCACTGGGGAAAGATCTGCTTTCAAGCTCACATTCTTATTGGCAGCATTCAGTTCCTTAAAGTCTTCCAGGCTGAGGAAGCATTCAGTTTCAAGCTGGGTATGGGTTGGAAGCCACTCTTAATGTCTTCCCTTTTCATGTGTTAGCTGACAACATGGCAGCTTCCTTCTTCAAATCCAACAAGAGAGAGCATCTCTTGGCAAAATGGACTCTACAGTCTTATGCAGTGTATTCATGATCCATGCAATCAAGCACATCCTGCCATCTTTGCCATATTCTGCTGGTTAGAAGCATGTCACAGGCCCACACTCAAGGGAGAGGGGATCAGGCAAGGCTGTAGACACCAGGAGGAGGGACCATGGGGGCACTTTGGCATCTGTCTGCCACACTGCCCTATGTCTAGCATGCAGGCAGAGAAGGGGCAGGAGGAACTTAGTGCAGTGAGAGTGGCTCAGGGCATGGCGCCTCTCAGGACATGGACACTTTCCTTGGGGTGAGGGAGCAGAGGCCCCTCCTTTGGTCCATGTAGGAGGACTTGCTGAAAGAAGTATGATTTCAGGAGTTGTTTGAATGACAGGAGAGAAGCAGTTCGGTAGATTTCTAAGGAAAGATGATTTAGATAAGACGGTTAGGAGGCAATATAAAGGCAGGAGTGGGAGGACTGAGCTTACATTCTTTAAAAACGGTTCTAAAATGTAGTCTTCTTGTGTCAGCAAGCTATGCAATCCATTGGCTGTGAAGCGCAGGTGATTTTTTTTGTCTTCTTCTGCAG